TGAGGGGTAGCCAGGCCAGAACCTTATACCTGTCACACACGCGTGCCAGCCACGCGGCCCTGCTTGGAGCCAGAAAGACAGCCCTGCTTTCCACAAATAGCACTGCTTTCCAACCACATGGCTCTCTCATTTAGACGGAGTTTCCGGCCTGTTCTCTATCTTTCTGGGTTTGACTGGCTCCAGCAATGCTCACTCCCTTGTGTCAGAGACAAAACACAGTCCTGTTCCAATCTCAGATCTAGAATAACTTTCTGGTAAGTGAATCATAATGTGGAGTTTCTTTGTCAAAAATTTCTGCCAGTCTTGCTGGCTCAATGGGAGACAGTATTCTGTGAGCAAAATCATCTGTCATGTCGTGGGGGGTGACTCATTGTATATGAATTGTTGAAGTATGAATTAGAGCTAAATTTAGTTTGGTGCAGTTTTGCTGTTTTGAAGGAAAACGGTGATGACAAAGCAGATCTTTTTTAGTTTACTGAACGCCCTGGGCCTGAAAGCATTTATACAAATGATGTCCCAAAACTTTCATTTTATATTAAAGAGCTAAAGAACTAAGCCCAAGAAAAGAGAAGAGGAAGGAGAAATCTTTGATTCTGCAGGGTGTAAGGTGCAACTGGGGAGGACGATCCAAGCTCGGAGGCAACAGACAAAAAGAAAACACTGAATGATTTTAGCAAAAGAAACAAGGCACTGTGCGTTTAACAAGAAACCACATTCAAAGGGAATTGGGGGAAATGTTTGCAATAAATATGTCAGACTGATGTGAAAGGTGCATGCAAACCTGTAGGAAAAACTCAGGACCCTAAGAGATGATAGCAGATGTCCATATGTCATTCGTGAAAGGGAAACACGATTAGACACATGCTGGAAATGCTCATTCTCACTGGCAGTCAGAGAAATGCAAGTAAAAGGGAGATCACAGTTTTATTCATTAAGCGAGTAATTTTTTTAAGCTGATAAACCTGGTGTTAAATTTAGGCTAAAGACAGAAATACCCTCGTCCATTGACTGAATGGCTGTGAGGTAGTACTAACTTGTTGATCATTTTGACAGTGGGGATTAGACACCCTTTAAAATGGTCCTCCTCCATGAACTAGTAATCTCAGCTCTAAGACTCTCACCTAAAACAGAAGTCCAAGAGTGGAAAACCATGATGCTAAATACATTTATGGCAATATTACTCAGGTATCAATATTACTTAGATGTCAGGGATTGGCTGAGAAAACCGTGGCATAGCTTCTCACTGGAATAGTATGAGAATGTAACAATATGGAAAAGAGAGATTAGGTAAAAAGAAGGGCATGAAATTATAAATATGTTATGACAAAAAAAATATACTGTATAAAAATCAAGGAAGGGTTGAAACTTAATGTCCGCACGAAAGCTTGGACATGGATAAACACTGCTAGCAGTGTTACTCATAATGGCCCAAGCTTGGAAGCAGCCAACGTATTCTACAGTAAGGGAATGTGTAAAAAAGCTGTGGTACATCCAGACAGTGGAATATCATTCAGGGCTAAAAAGACATGAGCTATCAAGCCATGAAAAGACTTGGAGGAAACTTTAAATACTACGTGAAAGAAGCTGCTACCTAGTGTATGATTGCACCTATATAAGATTCCCGAGAAGGCAAAACTATGGAGACAGTAAATAGATTTGTGGTTGCCAAGGGTTGGGGGCAGGAGGGATGAATGGGTGGAGCACAGAGGTTTTGGGGGCAGTTCAGCTATTTGGTCTGATACTACACAGTGGATACATTATGTATTTGTCCAAACCCATGGAACTCACCCAAAGGGAGCCCTAATGTAAATTATGGACTTTGGGTGCTAATGATGTCTTGATGTAGGTTCATCAGTTATAACAAATGTCCCACCACGGCAGGGGACGTTGATGATGGGAGAGGTTGCACATATGGTGGGGGGGCTGGGGGGCATATGAAAAATCTCTGTACCTTTTGCTCCGTTTTGCTCTGAACCTAAAACTTCTCTAAAAAAAAAAAAATGAAGTCCATTAAAAAAATTAAACAAGAAAGAGGAAAAAGACTGGAAATATTTAAATAGGCTGTGTTTTGGTTAGGCTATTATTTATTTTCCTTTTTCTCCATGCCTGTAATTACTATTTGAAAACATGAACGTGCATTAATTTATAATGGAAAGAAAAAAATAAACACTTAAAGAGTTTAAAGCTATGAGATGAAGCTGTACATGCAGTTGTGTATTTAAGCAATTCTGAGTTTTTGATCCCTTGTTTCTTCTTAGTGGTCAGCATTTTGTAAACGCACATTCCTTTGGGCTATTTGTGAGTTTACACAACTGACCCTGTACTCTAAACCTATGGCCAGTTGGAGTTTCAGTTCCCAGTAAAAATAAGCCATCTTTGGGGACTCTCAGCACGATCTGTATTCTTGGAATTTTTCCCACTATGCGTGAGTCAATCTTTCTTAATTTTAAAAACCCTAGGACTCTAGGGGCGCCTGGGTGGCTCAGTCATTAAGCGTCTGCCTTCAGCTCAGGTCATGATCCCAGGGTCCTCGGATCGAGCCCCGTCTCAGGCTCCCTGCTCTGCGGAAAGGCTGCTTCTCCCTCTCCCATTCCCCCTGCTTGTGTTCTCTCTCTCACTGTCTCTCTCTGTCAAATAAATAGATAAAATCTTAAACAAAACAAAAAAACCCCTAGGACTCTGTTAGAAATAGCCTACGTTCTCTTAAGTGTATGCAGATATTTATTTGTGTTTAATTTACTGTTTTGCAATGATTATGTTTTTTAATGATTATACAATCACATGGTTTAAAAATTAAAATTAAAAAGTTAAATAATTGGGGTGCCTCGGTGGCTCAGTCGATTAAGCGTCTGCCTTTGGCTCAGATCATGATCCCGGGGTCCTGGGATCGAGTCCCACGTTGGGCTCCCTGCTCAGCAAGAGCCTGCTTCTCCCTCTCTTGCTCCCCCTGCTTGTGCTCTCTCTCTCTCTTTCTGTCAAATAAATAAAATCTTTAAAAAAAAGGTTAAATAATTGACTAAAAATATATATAGTGATAATTCTTCCTGCCTGGTCTCCCATCTGCTTAGTTCCTCAACACCCCCATTCTAAGGAACCACTATTTTATTTTATTTTTTAAATTTTATTTATTTATTTATTTATTTATTTATTTATTATTTGAGAGAGAGTGAGAGAGCAGGCTAATGGGGGGAGGGTCAGGGAAGAGGGAGAGGCAGAGAATCCCAAGCAGACTCTGTGCTGAGTGTAGAGCTAGATGTGCGAGTCCATCTCATGACCCTGAGATCATGACCTGAGGTGAAACCAAGAGTTGGACGCTTAACCGACTAAGCCACCCAGGTGCCCCAGGAACTACTATTTTAAAATTCTTGTGACTGCTTCCAGAGTTTCTTTATGCATGTATATGCAAACACTAATATATATTTTTATTTTTCCCTAGTTTTATACAAAAAGGGGCACATTTTATACATTGTCTAACACCCAGCTTTTCCACTTAGCAATGTGTCTTTCCTCATCAGCACATAAATAGCTTCTTACTCCTTTTTGCAGCTACAGAGAACCCCACATGTGTATTTGTAGACTCACCATCATTTCCTTAACCAGTCCCCTGCTGATGGACAGTTGGGTTCTTTTTGATCCATTGCTATCAACAACAGCACCGTAAGGACGAATCTTACATGTACATTTCATACACGTGCAAGGATATCCACAGAATAAATTCCCGGAAGTGAAATTGCCGGGTCAGAGTATAAGCCTCTATAGCTCTGATTGCCAAGTTATTCTGATTGCCAAGTTATTCTCCTTCGGGAAGGGTTTACACTCATACCAGCCATACTTCTGAGTGCCCGATTCTCTACATCCTTGGCAAAAGAGTGCTTTGCTTCCAGTGTGATTATTGTCATTATGATGTGTGGAGAAAGGAAGTGCAGTGTGTTTTAATTTGGCTTCCTTTCATGAAGGAGCCTTAGCGTGTTTTCATAGGTAAGAGCCTTTCCTCTCTTGTGATAACTGCTTACTGCCTTTCTTCATTTTGATTATTAGGCAGTTGATCATTATGGATTTCTAGAAATTCTTTATGTATTAGGGAGATAACCTCTCTTGGTAACTGCACCTACCTGGCTGGAACGTGTGTCTCAGGACAAGAGATTCTGAAAGGGGCCTTTGCTGGAGCAAATACAACGCATTTGAGTTAAGAGTGATAGCCATTCAAGGAAGTGCATGGACTCCAGCCCACATGTAGCATCAAGGTTTCCCATCAAGCCAGTCTGTGTTTGTAACTTTTGTCACTTAACGCCTTTACATCTTGGTTTTCTTACCGGCAATATAAGGCTTATCAGTACCATCATTCTGGGTAACACATACAAAGAACCTGATAGTGCAGTGATTACACAGGGCCAGATAACTGAACACACCCACAGCCCTCCTCAGGGTGAAGCTACTTACTCTCTGCTAAAGGTAAAGTTACAGCAGGAAAAGAAAGCATGAACAATCATGGGGGACCCTGGAGAATTCTGGGCGCAGCTCCCAGGGTCCTTTGTCCTTTGCATAGGAGGTGCTCTGTTTGAGGACTGCGAACCACAAAAATACGTGCAAAGAATCTTGGTTTTAGGGTAGCTTGAGCAGAAGTTTCTAATCGTATCTTAATACCCTACTGGTGACGTGGCCAAGCCAGACTGTGTTACTGATGCAACCAGTATAAACCATCAATCTCTGCATCTGTAACTGTGTAGACAGGCTGGCGCTGGATCTCTCCAGGGATCTTTGAACGTTCAACACCACATTATAAATCACTAACTAGCTCATCCCACCATCCTTGTCTTAGCCACGGGTCAGTATTAGATCTCCCAACATCCCTGGAGACCAACATACAGTGATCCCAGTCCAGCTGTAAGAGAACTTCACCTTACGTAGGTACTCAGGAAGCCCAAAGAAACTCTGGCTTCCTTTCCTTTTTTCTGGAACAAACCTGCTTTTGCCTTCACCCGTACTCTCTTCTTGTATAGCTCAGGGGAGACCGTGACCAGTGTGACCAGCTTGGCCCCACTGCAACCCAAGAAGGGCAAGAGGCGGAAGGAGAAGGCTGACGTTCCTCCTGCAGTGCCTGCCAAAGGTAGGAGGCTAACCTACAGTTACCCACGTGGGAGCCAGCACGGCTGATCTAGAAATGGGTCTGGGGTCTGCAGTGGGATCAGGACAGGGGGAGTAGACGGAGGATGTGACATCTGGTGATGATATGGCTTGCAGAACCCCACCTAGATTCTGATCATAACTGAGCCCTATCACTGAGGTGGGGCTGGGGGTGGTGCGCTGGCCCAGCATGGCATTAGTGGGGAGATGGGAGGGGGGAGGTCAACGTGCACAGATTGATTCCACAATGTACTTCACCTTGAACTATTAACATGCTCACACATAGTGGGGTGGGACAAAGGGGTATCAACATCTTCTTGGTTCATTCAAGGGAATGAAGCCTCTCTGATTTTTCTAAGGATGTAAACCAGGTATGTAGTTTATTTTGGATTTGTTCTGGGGATAAAATGAGGGTTAGTCTTTGATTCCAGTTGTAATGTAGAGCAACATAGGTGAGAAAGATGAATGTTTCTGGAGAACTGCTCATGTCAGGAGAACTGAGACCATTTACAGATAGTTCCTAAAATAACTGTGGCCAGTTTTGGAGATGTTCATACCTCAAAGAGCTTGAAATGTAGTTGGAAGTACTAGGACTGTCCCCTAGGGATCCTTGGGGTCCTGTGGTGAAAGCCACTGGTGCTCAGGCTGAACCCATGTTGGGTAGACAGAGGGGCCGGAAGGCCTGGGCATTCTGGGAGGCACAACAAGTGTTGGTCTGGGGAGGGAAGGGGGCAGAGAACCCTGCCGTAACGTCTCATTCAATCAGAGTAGATAGTACCTTACCTTACAAAAGATGAGAGTGAGCCTCAGAGAGCTAAGTGGTAGAGTCTGGCTTGGAGGTGAGGTCTGCCTAACTTTCAAGGTCAAGTTCAAGTTCCAAAACATTGAAGTACTCATTACATGATATTTGGGGGAAGAGCCTCAATTTTCTCCTCTGTTAAATGGGGACAATAAGGGGGGCAGAGCAAGATGGCGGAGGAGTAGGAGACCTGGATTTCGTCTGGTCTCAGGAATTCAGCTGAATAGGGATCAAACCATTCTGAACACCTACGAACTCAACAGGAGATCGAAGAAAAGAATAGCAACAACACTCTGAACAGAAAAGCAACCACTTTCTGGAAGGTAGGACGTGTGGAGAAGTGAATCCGAGGCGATACTCGGGAGGATAGATGGCAGGGGAGGGGGCCTCCGTTGGCCACTTCTGGCAAGTGATAGAGCCGCGGAGCACAAAATCGGAACTTTTAGAAGTCGGCTCCGCTGAGGGACGTCGCTCCAGTGGCTAAGC